ATTCTCTCGCTTGCCTCGGATTAGCCATGGCGATCATGTGAACTATTTTATATCTTCAAATATATTTCGCAAAAAACATGCCTAAATATATTTCATTTTTTAGACCGTTGACAGAACCTTAGGTCTTCCAGGGTGTTTTATTTGAAGACGAGTGATAATCCAGTTTTGAGAACTTTCTTACGTTTCGAGTAAATTAAGATCCGATCTGGCCTTACAGCCTTCAGTCTGTTAAGATCACTGTATATATTTAAAGCTCTCACAGATCAGCTCGAAGTTTTCACATTCACATTCAGTCTTACGTTCGCTAAGAAGGGCAGATCACCCTGCTTCATTGACATGTCCTGACACGAGCCCGGGCAGCTCAGAACACGCGGTTGACCCCGCAGCCAACGGCACTCTGTGCAACCTGACAGACTCTGGTGAACTCTGCGCGCTTTAGCCGGCAACTTTGACTACATGAGACAATACGGAGAGTTGCTTACGTTCAGCGGAGAGCGTCGGCTCTCAATTGCCAGTGTGAACACGTCAGGCATCCTTATAGGTACCGCAGTTACCTGAAAGGAGATTGCTGAACAGATGATAAACAGGAACAGGGTGCCAAGGGTTCTGAAGTGACGGGACGGTTGAAACTATGATGGATAGAAATCAGCATTGAATAAACTATAGAGTGGGGTGGATATTTCCCGCTGCTTCCACTTAGTTTGTCTTCTTTTCAAAACTGCATTCCCATGAACCTTTGTGCTTTTGCTGGCAACCGCCTCCGACTAGACAACGCGGATGCCTATTTACCCTCTGTGACAAGCATAAGTTAATTAATTCGGGTGTTAGATCAGTTGGCTTGGCGGAAATTGAGTGATAGAGGTTAACCAACGGCCCCTGCGAGAATTCATTTAAAAGTTTGTGATTTCAATAGTCATCTCATCATCATGTGAAAGCTGGCATGCTCGTCATGCTTCTCAGGCTGGGAGGAAATCATCTGGACTTTTGCGTCGCCAGTGTTTTGCGTTCGACCAGTAAGGCTTATGCGTGGTCAGTTTGATGGATGGTTAGTATGCGATGCCCCTTTTTGTGTTGTTCTCATTTGGAGCTCATGGAAACGTGGATGAATGTGGCGACTATAGCTAACTAACTATACTCACGGCCACTACAAATTTAATAATCTCCTTGTAGATACTGATGTTTCGTTTTTACCATTTATCCCAATTTAGACACATAAATAAATTTCCTTCAAATAAACAGAACTGATGTCGAGCGACGTTGCGACTTATGGAAAACGTGAGGAGAGCGCAGGAAGTTTCTAAAAGCTCCAGCAGATAGCATCCAACAGGATGGTACACTTCCATCGATGTATCGGGTTTTGGATACTCAACTGAACATTCAGTTTGTCCATTCCCCTAAATGAATTGCGTAGAGTAATTAATTTGTCGAATGTCAAAGTATTCAGGCAGCTATTAAACACCACTTTTTGTGTTATGTCAGACATTTTCCTGACAGATTTTCAATGCTCTCAGCAATTTAGTTTTTTTTCTAGAAAATTTGCACAGAATATTCTTTTTCCCGCTCATTTGATAGCAAATTACGCATTCTTAAAATCACATACTCAAAGGAAGGGCCTCTTCTGGTTTCAAAATCTTTCAAACCTGCAGAATAATTATAAAGTGTAAGAAAAGTAAATTGCTTGCAATATGATGCCAACTTGAAATATGTAAAACAGTTATTAATAGTAATTTACTTAAATAAAAAAAGTCATCATCATCGCGCAAAGATTACGGAAGCGGAATGAAATTTTGACAAGAAGCGGCTCCGAAGCGGACTAAAGAGTATGACAAGTATGAAAATTAGCAATGCATGCAGGATCTGTTTATTTAATAAAGCTCATAGCGCCATGGCAACCGCGTGCATCCCTGACACTTTGGTCACCCTTGTTAACCGTGACTGTCCCTTATGATGGAATCGGTCGAGAATCGGAAACGTCATGTCACTGGAACGTCATGCCGTCTTCCAGCAATCGCATTTGCTTTTTATGAATTCACCTGTATTTTTTTAGTTTATGGTTAAGAAAGCTCCTTATCCTCTTCGTTCACTAGCAACAGGGTGATCAAACGCTAGCTGATAAGGTGGAGTGACATTTTTCGTAAGTAACTGAGTCCACGGTCTTTTCATCTGGAGATCGTTAAGTAGGTGTATGAATTCTTTCATCAGAGCGAAATTTACTATGTCCTTTGTTCTCTCGCTCGACTAAATAAAATGACATTTCATATGTTCTTTTTTTTAAAGGAAGGAATAATTAAAGTACGTTTTGGCATCCGTTATGGTTGCTTTATCATTGCGAGCAGCCGAATTCGATGACCAAATTTAATAAGGCACTTGTGTGAAGAATCATTGCGAATGTTTGGTGTGCGTGGAAATATTGCATCAGTTTACGAAGCAGTCAAATCAGATAACGAGCAAAATGTCCAAATTAGGTTTATTCTCGCTCCTAATAAGAATATCCTTCAATTCAAAGCATCTCCATAAGAATCATTTATCGCTCCTGCACTACAGATATGAAAAACTAGGCAAAAATTTGTTTGGAGGTTAGCCTTGCGTCCCACATCAACACATTTCAAAATTCGCCCAGTTAAAAAAAACAGACCAATCCCTGATGGGCTGTTCAGACACAACAGCCAACTGTCCTCTGATTGGTTAGTTTAAACAGTCATGAAATTCTGTGCAGCAAATCGTGATTACGTTCATGCCGCTGCAGTGAAGATTATCCCTTAAATTAAACCATATCGACGCCCAGCGTATCATTTTCAAAACGTCAAGATGAGAACGACTATCGCAGCGCTGCTACTGCTATTCACGCTGGCAGAATGTCAAATACTCGGCGGGAGGAGTTCACTTACACAGAAGGACCTGGACAGTGATACCTTCAAGGAAGCACTGGCGGCCGGTCTGGAGAAACTCGAAGCTAAATCCAGGGGATTTGTCAGCTATAGTCTACAGAAAGTGTTGAATGGTACAAGTCAAGTTGGCCAAGGTGTCCTCTACAAGTGGACAATGACGGTTAGGCGGACTAAACTACCGGAGTGTGAGATGTGGTGTGACGGGCCCTGTGAGAGAATAGTAATGTACTCGGCTTCGGCCTGGATACAACCATGGCTATCTGGCCCGGAGAGAATAGTGGTCATGTTGAAGGCGGTGTAACATCTACTTTTTGGTTAGGCGAAGGGTCAAAGTGTGTTTAAATTGTTGCCTGCTATGACCGATTGACAATGGTTATGTTCTCGCTTCAAACTTTATGCCCATGTGCAGATCTTGAAGCGAGGGGAATCGATATTCTCATTTTCAATAAATTCGGTGGGGTATTTTGTTTCCATTCGGCCTCCTTATTCGAAATGCGCTTGCCTAATGTTTTCAAGTATGCGAAAATTTCCATTGGAAATACTAGAAGATAACCTGGCAAACGCAGGTTTGTTTTCGGTAAATTCTCGTCAGGCCCTTACATTGGTATGGTACTTGACTAAATAAACTATGCGAATCATTATAAAAAGTACCGCGGTTGTCAGGGGAGGTGGAAGGGGGGAGGGAACGGGGTCAAATGTCTGATCAGTGGTAAGCGAGAGAGGTTACAAGTTGCGAGCTATTGGGTTGGCGACTTTCGGCCATAGGGACTACAGCGCCGCAACGAAGTTCTTTTGGGCGCACCGGACCGGTCGACGTAGCTTGATTGCGGCCGCTGCTGCCGTAGCAAACAGATGCTGTCCAACGACATTTGAATAGCACTTAGTAGACTGAAAACATCGCGTGGATGCCAAAGAGGCCTTCTGAGTCAGCTACAAGTTATCTTCAGTCTATTTCTTGGACAGCGTCTGTTGGCTACGACAGAAGCGGCCGTCACCAGGCTACGCCGACCGATACTGTGAGGCCAAAAGAACTTCGTCGCGGTGTGGCAGTTCCCATGACCGAAAGTCGCTGACCCAACAACCCGCAGCTTAGCACTTGTCTTGG